TACGCATGACAATCACAGCTTCTGTCGAATCGCGATCTCGATTCCATTTCGATTTATCGTGCAGCCCTAGTGTAAAGACACGAAACGATCGGTCTGTGCAAGAAACTGAACAGAATTTATATAGTTTTTTACCTCTGATGCACTGCAATGTCCGAACTGTCCTGAGCGTGTCCTCGATAGCCGGCGCGTGACGCGTCTTCTTCTTGCTTGACGGCGGATCGCAGACTTATAAGTGCATTACCGCCACCTATCTCTCAAATGGACCATTGACACTCTATCTACAATCTCAATTAGGAGTGAAAAAAATGTCATGGGATTTTTAATGACCACAGAGTCGGGACCCCGGTTTAGCGTCTCATCCGAAGGACGGTGCTTTTTACAGTATAGTGTCCCCGTCACTATACTGGGGCATTAGGACCCACACAGACTACAGGGTGAGCGCCCCCTGCTGGCCTCACTAACACCTCTTCCAGCAGCAACCTAGTTTTCCCAGGAGGTCTCCCATCCGGGTACTGACCAGCTCAACCCTGCTTAGCTTCAGTGGGCAACCAGTCTTGGGTTGCAGGGTGATATGACTGTGATAAAAGAGTATCACAATGCTGAAAAAGCTTTTTTTGTTTTACATGATTTGAAATCAAACTAATGGATAACTGTTGTGTTTGTGGCCTAAACAGCCGCGGATCAGTAGCGGACTGCAAACGCGTCCTGTGTGAAAGCACAATGAGTCCGTGCTGCTTCTGCACCACATACGTAATGCACATGGACCGCATACGCACTGCAGAAGGAGTATGTGTGAAACAGGTGTCACTCTCCAAGTGAGTCGAGCAGAATGTTTTTTTTTTTTTTTTGGATGGCTGTATTGCCTAGATAAAACGCACACACAAAAAATATCCAGACAACACAATTAGTACGCAGGAATATTATTGCAAATCTACATTTTTAGGGGAGAAGGGAAAACTCAAGGGGAACTGCTGTCTACCACAAATACTTACAACTAGAAACGCTCTCGGTTACTCGCGTAACCTCGGTTCTCTGGGATGAGGGAACGTGACATTGCTTTGGGAATTCCCCTTTCCTCCAAATACTACTGAAGCCTTATTGAATCACGCCAGTGAAACTGGCCAGTGGCGTCAAGCGCGCAAATTATGAGGGGCTCCCACTCTATATAAAGCAGTGCTTGTACGTCATCTACTCAGAATCTTGACTGAAGCAACTTGGCATTCTAAGATCCTGTAAGGCTGAGAAGGCGGGTGTGTTGCTTGCACTGACAGCACATGTAAGGCAAGCAACGACACATCTAGGTTATAAAACCTCGCGAAAGTGCTGGGTGACGACCAGCCTGCCGCCATGCAAATGTCCTGAATAGATGTCATTTGCACATGCCCACGAGGACGCGAGTCCGCGGGTTGAGTGAGCCCAAATCCCTATAGGACGTTCCATGCCCTTAGAGCCAATTGCGTCAACAATCCATTGTGACAGTCTTTGGAGGGCGCACAAAAGGCATGCCTGTGTCCAAGCACTTTAGGCACATAACCCTTCCTAGGCTTTATAAGGTGAGTCTGCAATCACCTGGCCCGAACTCAATACACGAGTCCTCAACTCACAGTGCCTGCAGGTCGCCAATTCTCTTAACAGAGGCCAGCGCGAGCAGGAGCACTGTCTTCGCCGTCTCCATGACACCGAAGGACACCACATCTTGAGCGTCGGGGGAGGGGTGGAGATCCGCGGTCATGAAGCGCACTGGAAGGGGACCTGCAGCAGGGGGGTGAGGAACGCGTGGGCACTGAGCTGGCGCAGGCTCGTCACCTAACCCTGACAGATCTGCACAGGGCTGTACAGTGCGACATGTATCCTGTATGCGACATACATTCACATCAGTGTTAACTCAGCAGTAGAGTTACACTTACGGGACACAGCACTTGTGCGCAATCACAAAAGTACATTATTTGCATCTGCTTTAAAGCCTTGCCGGTTAAACATTTAATTCATGTGTTGTTCTGACGTGCTTCTGAGCTCTTACACATGAAGCGCGTGCACACTTTCAAACAGTGCCTGATTACTAGACTAAGTTGTCTTTCACGTCTGATTGATTTCGAGTCTAATACTGTCAAAAGCACACAAGGTTTACATATAAACACAGTTATGTCTAAAATGATAGTAAACATGCGTGCAGCTCTTAAAGCGACAGTACTAAACATGCTGCCGCTTGTCATTAAAGGGATAGTTCACCCAAAAATTTAATTTGTTATTTACTCACTCACACGTAGTCCTAAACCTGTATTAATTTCTTTCTTGTGCTGAACACAAAAGAAGATATTTTGAAGAATGTGGGTAGCCAAACAGTTGCTGGTCCACATTGACTTTGACAGTAGGAAAAACTACTATGGAAGTCACTGTGGACCAGCAACTGTTTGGCTACCCACATTCTTCAAAATCATTTTTATGTTCAACAGAAGAAAGAAACTAATTCAGGTTTAAAACAACTTGAGAGCGAGTAAATGATGGTATAAAAATAAATCACTATGACAGAATTGACAGACAGATGACAGATTTTTCATTTTTGGGTAAACTATCCCTTTAATATTAATAAAAAAAAAACAAACAAACAGAGAGAATCTCTCACTGCTCATGACTGATGAAGTTTAATACAGTTGCTTAAAAAATATAATTGATGTATATAGTGTATATAGTGTTTTATTTTAATATTTAATGTTACTGCTAAATACTGTACCTAAAAAATAAAGCACTGTTTGTTTTATTTGCATATTATGTGTTATTGTAATGTATATCTTTTGTTCTTATTTTCTAATAACAAAGATAAAATAAAGGAAGAGGAAGAGCGCGCGGCAGGGCGAGCTGCATGCATCAGTCCAAAAGAAGTGAAATAAAAAGCGCCCATCCAGTGTATATCTTTTGTTCTTATTTTCTAATAACAAAGATAAAATAAAGGAAGAGGAAGAGCGCGCGGCAGGGCGAGTTGCATGCATCAGTCCAAAAGAAGTGAAATAAAAAGCGCCCATCCATTGAAAAAAAAAAAATGTCTCGCATGGCTCCGGAGGGTGAACAAAGCCCTCCTGTAGCGAATCGATGCGTTTTTGTAAGAAAAATATCCATATTCAAAACGTAATAATCACTTTAATGTAGCTTGCGCCAACAGTTGTACACAGAAGCAGCTCCGGGAGGAGGACGTATGAGGTCGGCTTTGCGCATCATAGCTTCAAACGTTTCTCTGAATAACGCAGATATACCTGCATGTACAGCTGGCTAATGAGAGGTCTGTAAGCTGGGTCTAAGGAGTTTATTGTGAGAACTGGTGAGAATGACACACTTGGGTTGCTTGAGGATCGGGCCAGTATGGAAGCTTGTTTCCGCCAACAGGTAATTTTGAGGAAAAAAAATTAATTAACATTGTTCTCATGTTTGTATTTAAACGGATCGTAGTTGATCCGTGATTTGTACGGACCAAGCCCCACGGTTCGGCACGCATGTGATGTGCGGATTAATGGCAAAATATAACCATAATAGAATGAAAGTTTACCAATTGTACTTGTTTACACACGCAAACGATTTTAAACCATTCTAGCGAAAGAAAAGGTGAAATGGAACTCAATTCGTTACTTGCGTGCTGTTTTCTATCACAGCCGCACAAACATGAAGCTCGCACATGCAGAGAGAAGCGTTTGACTGCGCGCGAACACCGAACTGAACCATCTTTCCTATCTCATTCACTCCTTGCTTTTGAACAGACGCATATGCACATAAAATTGACAAAATACCGATCTCGACAATCATTGTGGCAAATGCAATCTGTTGTGTCTTAAGTGAACGAGAACAGCTGAGAAAGAAAGCGGATGTGTATCATTAGGCTATATTGGATCCGTGCATCAGGTCTTAAATAATACCTGCTGCTGTCATTATGCTCATCAAACCACAAAACACGTTTTTGACAAAGATGAATCCATTTTTTAATTTATACAGTGAACACTATGCAGTTTTATTTTACACTTTAATTATTACATTTCTGTATCTGAATGCTACCTACCTTATTTGTAACATTGTTCTGTTGTATTTATCTATACTTGTAATTTGTGTAGCCTATTTGTTCTTATTTTTACTGGCTGTTCACTTGTCTCTTTAATAATGTTTGAACTTTCTCAGGCTTTCTTAAGAGTTTTTGCTGTGGTATCGTACTTATGGAAAGCAAAGTTACATCGATTTTTTTTTCTTGCTGATCCGAAAAACGATCCGATCCATGGCTCAAAAACCGTAATATGATCCGAACCGTGAGACTTGTGATCCGTTGAACCACTACTCAACAATGTTAACAAATTCATGTGTTGTTGAATTAGTTCCGTGAGAAGTTCACCTGTGCGTACAAATACGAAACAATCTATGCAATTATTAGTGAATGAGACCCAATTTTTCTGTCAAAATTCACTATAAATATAATAATTAATTCCCTTTAAGGTAAATTTACGGGTTTCCCTTACAACAAAGTAAATAGCAGTACATGGAAATGGCCATGATTTCCCAGAATGCTTTGTTTTTTTTTTACAGTATAGTACAATTTTAATTGAAAACGGTAAGTTACTGTCACTTTTTACAATGTGAAGTTAACGTATTTAATTTTTTCCTACTGTAGACCTGATGTCACTGAAAGAGGAGAGACAAGAATTGAATGAAATGGAAGAGAAGGATCAGTGTGTGGAACTTAGTAATTTTAAAACTGGAAAAAAAAACGTAAAGACCACAAAGACTTCCTCACGAAAAAGAGCCCAGAAGACCAAATCTAACACCTGCCATCAGTGTGGAAAGAATTTTATACATAAACAATCTCTTAAGGCCCACATGAGAATTCACACTGGAGAAAAGCCTTTCACCTGCCCTCAGTGTGGAAAGCGTTTCGGACACAAAGGGAACCTTATGAACCATATGAGAATCCACACTGGAGAGAAGCCTTTCACCTGCCAACAGTGTGGAAAGAGTTTCGGACACAAAGGGAACCTTATGAACCACATGAGAATTCATACTGGAGAGAAACCTTTCACCTGCCAACAGTGTGGAAAACATTTCACTCAAAAATGGAACTTTATAAAACACATGAGAATTCACACTGGAGAAAAGCCATTCACATGTGATCAGTGTGGAAAGAGTTTCGCACATAAAGAAACCCTAAATTCTCACATGAAAAATCACTCCGGAGAGAACAGCTATGTATGTCAGCAGTGTGGAAAGAGTTTGAGTCATAAAATAAGCTTTAAGACTCACATGAGAGTTCACACTGGAGAGAAGCCTTACGCATGCTCTCAGTGTGGAAAGAGTTTTGGATATAAACAATCCCTTGATTGCCACATGAGAATTCACACCGGAGAGAAACCTTACGCATGTCAACAGTGTGGAAAGAGCTTCTCACGAAAAGGAGACCTTAAGCTTCACATGGTCGTTCACACTGGAGAGAAGCCGTTCACATGTGATCGGTGTGGAAAGAGTTTCGGACGTAAAGTAAACCTTAATCAACATGTGAAGATGCACTTCTGGAGAGATTTAGTTTTAGAGTTTTAGATGTTGTCAGTATGGAATAATTTTCACAGACAGGAAAAACCTTACGCATCATGTAATAACTGGAGAGAAGTGTGCCATCACTATCTATGTTTACCCAAATAATAAATTAGTAATCTGAAAAGCCATCATGTAAACACATCAATCAGTCTGTTAAGCAATGAGTTGAGCCAGCTCAATTGTACATAACTTTCCTGAGAAATAACAACCTTTGTCAGCTCTTCACAGGGTTGACTTGGGATGCATTCCATTCAGTTGGTGAGTACCTTACCAATACATACATCAACAGCTTCCAGCTACACACTTGGGATCAGCTCCTGATGAAGCTGCATCCTAATTTATTGCAGGGTGATCTTGCTGAAAGCTTTGGTGTTTCTTCAGTCTGTTGTAAGCAAGGCGATTTCGTGTTGGCTTGACATCATTGAGGAGAACAAGAGGGATTACATACCATGGCTTCCCAGAGAGAAAATCCAAGCAACAATGCCTCAGTGTTTCAGAGAACAATTCTCAAATACAGCATGTGTGCTCGACTGTTCAGAGACACCCCTTCAAAAGCCACGCAACCTTGACTCAAGAGGCAAGTCCTACAGCCATTACTAAGGCCAGAACACCATCAAATACCTGGTCTACATTGCACCATGTGGACTGATCATGTTCATCTCGCCAGAGTATGGAGGAAGGTGCAGTGATAGATTCATAACTGCAAATTCAGGGTTCCTGGAATACCTTCGTCCAGGCGATGAAGTAATGGCAGACAGAGGCTTCACCATTACCGATCTCCTGTATGAAAGGAAGGTGAAACTTGTCATTCCAGCATTCACCAAGAGAGGCATGCAACTCTCTGAAGAAGACACCACCAACACTAGGCGCATTGCCAATGTACGTGTCCATGTTGAGCGGGTCATATGCCGACTGCAAAACTTCTAAGTCCTTTCTTAAACTGTTACAATTACCCTCGCCCCTAAAATTTATGAACTTTTCAGAATATGTGCAGCCCTGTGTAACCTGCGAAGCGACATTCATTTCTGATGTAGAGGATGAATAAGTGTTGATTAGTAGGTGCGTTCCACGTCTATACATTTTGCTGTGGTTTTGCTTTAACTAATTAGTGTAAATAGTTATTTTTATAAATCTTTACAATGTGACCAGATGTTACCTATCTGTAAATATCTATTTTTATGAAACTTTACAATGTGACCAGATGTTAGCTGTCGGTAGTTTCTTATAAAAGCATATAATGTGGGCTCTAGATTCCCCTTAAAACTTAAAGGAATTAAAGGGATAGTTCACCCAAAAATTTAAATTCTGTCATCATTTACTCACCCTCAGGTTGTTCCAAACCTGTATAAATTTATTTGTTCTGCTGAAAACAAAGGAAGACATTTGAAAGAATGTCAGTAACCTTTCAAATCTCGCCCCCCATTTACTTCCAGAGTAGGAACAATAAATCCTATGGAAGTAAATGGGGGGTGAGATCTGTTTGGTTACTGACATCACTCGATTCATGTTATTCTTTTGGCATATTTTAATTTTCTGTTTAATTTTCACAGCTTTAATCTTGTGCATGTCCATCTTTTCATTTAGCGTTTTCACCTGGCTGGAAGTGATTGGGCCTAAAACTAACTTTTTGCCACACCTGCCAATGGCCGGTGATGTAATAACATTTACCGGCCAAAAACATTTTTTTTTACTGGTCATGAAACTCTTTTTACAAAAACAGGCAGTCATTACTACTACAATGACTAAACATATTTACAATGTTTTTAATTTGTTGTTTTTTCTTGTAAGTAAAGCAAAGGACAAACAGATTTATTGATTTATCTGTTTTTTTGTCCCTAAAAAACGAGATTCTTGTTCTTGTCAGGGAGTCTCTCCCCTTGTCCAAATACCCACACTTGCGGTCTTGGCCACTTGAGAGCGCGTGCGCGCGACAGGAAGTAAGTGCGCGTGTGGGTATTTGGACAAGGCTTAAGTCACCAGTCACCAGCTCTGGACTCCATGTCCCAAAATCCTCCCCGGCTTACTCCTGTTTTCAGTCATGATCACCACTCACACCAGATCACACTCCCCTGTATTCTGATCACCTGCACCTGCCGTCTCCAATCAAGCCACCTTCAAGAACACGCTCCTCACAGTCACTCACCGTCTGGTGTATCGTTCACATCATTGAACAAAACCTGACTCGCTGCACTATACTAAACTGTATTTGCTTACCTTAGAATTTCCCGTGTTCAACCGCTCCAGTTCTCCACCGATCCTGTGCCTCCATGATCATCCTGCAAGGACTCAAACACCCTACTCCGCCAGCTAAGCCATTTGGACTTTCTCTCTCTGTGTTTTACTCATCTCTCGTCTGCTCCTGGTTCTCCCTGCCTCACAGTCAATAAACTCTGTTTGATCTCTACCTATGTGTCCCTAGCCTGAGTCGTGACAATGCTGTACAAAAATAATATGTTTCCACATACTGTACATTATTGTTTCTCCTCTATGCCCCGCCTTTTTGAAACGTGTCGATTTTTACAAAGCTCATCGGTCTGAAAAGCGAGGTGTGCTCTGATTGGCCAGCTATCCAGTGCATGCACCACAAATTAAAATTGTCATGTTATAGGGACTACTGAACAGACATTTAGAAGTTGATTTTAAAATGCAAAGTATTTAAAATTAAAATAAAACTATCTAAACACTTGCATTTTTACAACACTACAAGTGTGTCCCATCAGGTAATGAAAAGTTCGACACACACTTGTGGTCTTCATGCTCACTTGAACACTTGGGCCAAATACAGGAAATACGTCATGTAAGTGGTCAAGTGCAAAGACCGCAAGTGTGGGTATTTGGACAAGGCTTAAGTCACCAGTCACCAGCTCTGGACTCCATGTCCCAAAATCCTCCCCGGCTTACTCCTGTTTTCAGTCATGATCACCACTCACACCAGATCACACTCCCCTGTATTCTGATCACCTGCACCTGCCGTCTCCAATCAAGCCACCTTCAAGAACACGCTCCTCACAGTCACTCATCGTCCGATCTACCATTCACTACTCTGAACCTGACCAGACTCTCAATATGTTATTTACCCGTTAATCCTTACCTGTATATCTCTGTCCGTTGTTCTCTTCCGCTCCTGGATCCCAAACCCTCTGCGCACCTACAAAGGAACCAATCATCAGGACACAGTTAAGACTCAATGAACTGTCATTCGTATTGGATACTCACCAGTCCTTGCTCCAGTCATTTTGCCATTATCATACCTGTCAATAAACCTGCCATTGACTAACCTGTTGTCTCCGGCTTGATCTGTGACAGTCTTTTGCATGTTTTCATCAAACGGAGCAGGCCATCGTGTTACGCCTGTTTCACACATACTCAGTTTGCAGTGCGTTTTTTTTTTTTTCCAGCACCCATGTTCATGGATTAGAGCAGTGCTATTCAATTAGCTTCATTTGAGGGCCAGATTATTGAACTGAAAATTTCAAGGGGGTTGGGGACCTATTGGGGAATTAAATTGAAATCTAAAATCTGCAAGGCAAGTTTATTTATATAACACATTTCATTCACAATTGTAATTCAAAGTGCTTTACATAAAAGGAATTAAAATAATCATAAAAATAATAATCACCACAATAAAACAAGGAAATTAAAAACTTTTAAAATAAACTAAAATTGATTTAAAATGAATTAAAACAGTTAAGAATAGAAAAAGATTTACATAAAATACAGTGCAATCAGTTCGGAAGTAGCACAGTGCTCATTCACTAAATGCACAGCTAAACAGATGAGTTTTGAGTCTGGGTTTAAATGTGGCTAATGTTTTAGCACATCTGATCTCTTCTGGAAGCTGATTCCAACTGCGGGCGGCATAATAACTAAAAGCAGACTCCCCTTGTTTTGTGTGAACCCTTGGTATTTCTAACCGACTCGATCCTAATGATCTGAGTGGTCTGTTAGGTTTATATTCTGTGAGCATATGTCATGTATTTAGGTCCTATGCCATTGAGTGATTTATAAACGAATAAAAGTACTTTAAATTCAATCCTAAATAAAACTGGAAGCCAGTGTAAGCACCTGAGGACTGGTGTGATATGCTCAGATTTTCTGGTTCTAGTCAGAATTCTGGCAGCAGCGTTCTGGATGAGCTGCAGCTGTCTAATGGTCTTCTTGGGAAGGCCGGTGAGGAGACCATTACAATAGTCCACCCTGCTGGTGATAAAGGCATGAACAAGTTTCTCCAAGTCTTGACTGGAAACAAAACATCTAATTCTTACAATGTTTTTGAGATGATAGTATGCTGATTTAGTTACTGCTTTGACATGACCACTGAAACTAAGGTCTGACTCCAGAATCACACCACGATTCTTGACTGGATTTTTGGTTGTTTGACCCCTAGAGTCCAGGTATGCATTCACCTTGAGAACTTCATCTTTGTTTCCAAATGCAATGACTTCAGTTTTCTCCTTGTTTAACTAGTCATTTGGAGATAAGGCTAGGTAAATCTGGATATCATCAGCATAGCTGTGATAGGCAATTTGGTTCTTTCTCATTATTTGACTGAGTGGGAGCATATACAGGCTAAACAAGAGCGGTGCAAGAATTGAGCCTTGTGGGACTCTGCATTTCATTGACCTCCACTTAGATTTATGCTCTCCTATACTCACATAATAAGGGCTTTTGCACAGCGTAGTTCTAGGAACTAGCCAGCAGGGTAGTTTCTAGAGAACCAATTTCTCCCTCGGGCTGTTTTCCTGGTTGCATTCGCACCGGCAGCAGGAAAAGAACACACTGCAGACAACAGGTAAATGCCATTATCGCTGTTTTCCATGTTAGTGGAGTAAATGTTTACATGGCTTTTTAAAAATGCCTAGTGGCTGGTGTTTTGCGTGCGTTTGGCCAATCAGCATACACTTACATCACTGATAGTTTGTATAGAACTGTTTTAGACCCTGCTCTGACGTAGGAGCTAATTTAGTTCCTCCAAACGGAGTTCCTAGAACTAAAACCGTTCCTAGTTCCTGCAGTGCGAACACGCCAAAAAGTGGGTAGTTCCACAATTAGTTCAGGTACTATGAAAAGGTTCCCACAGTGCGAAAGGCCCTAATAACCTCTCCCTTCTAAGTATGACCTGAACCATTTGATTACTATCCCAGAAAGCCCGACCCAGTTTTCCAGTCTCTCTAGAGTTAAGCACACTTTTGAAAAAATATGTGGGAAGTGTGTCAAGGTCGCAGGTTGATAATTTAAAGGTCTGTACTATTTTTTCCAAAATTTTGCTATCAATTGCTTCAAAAACAGACATAGTAACTGCTTTTTTGAAAATGCGGTCGAATCTGTCTGACCTCTGCATAACTTGAGGATGTGCTAATCGCCTTCCTGATATTATTGATCCTCTCAGAAAAGAAGGAAGCAAACTCATTGCATTTGCTGTCGGAGAGCATTTCACTGGCAGTCTGACTTGGGGGGTTTGTCGGTCTCTAAACAGTAGCAAAAAGAATGTGAGTGTTGTTTAAGTCACTGTTTATAAGGTTTGAGAAGAATGACTGTCTAGCTGTGCCTAGTTCCACATTGAAAGCACGAAGGCTGTAATCATTTCTTTTGTTGTATTGATTTCTGCATTATCTATGTGAATATTAAAATCCCCTGCAATAGTAAAGCAGTCAAACTCTGAGAAAATCATTGATAACAGTTCTGTGAACTCGTCAACAAAGTCTGGAGAGTATTTTGGAGGCCTGTAAATAATGATAAACAGAACGCGTGAAGCACCTTTCAGCGCAATATCTAGATATTCAAAGGACAAGTACTGACCAAATGACACTTGCTTGCATTGATAGACATCTTTAAATAGAGCAGCTACACCTCCACCTCTCCTAACAGTCCTGCAAACACTCATGAAAGTAAAGTTAGGAGGGGCTGTTTCATTGAGGACTGTTGCACTGCAGCTGTCTTCTAGCCATGTTACTCAAATCTGAGAAATCAAAATTTCTCCAAACTCAAATCTGCGGTTTATTTATAAAAACAGCACCTATTTGAAAATGTGCTTCGCCGATTTTGGAGACGGGAGCTCCACGCGACATAAAACGATGTACTGTACCTAGGAAGGGCCACCAGAAGGGGGACCGTCTGAAACTACCCAGACCACAAAGAGTGTGCTGCCTACTTACAAACCAAAGAGGGGAGACAGCACTATCTAGGTAAGGGCTCAAGAGACCGCTACTTAAAACCTTAAGCAGGGGAGCAATCACTGAGCTAACATATAGCTATCCTTAGATAGCTAGGCTCTAGGAAAAGGGACCACTCCAGGAGAGGGTTCACCTCAACTGACAGTAAAACACAGCTAGCCTCAGATAGCTGTATTTAAGTAAGAGCAAACATATAAACATCATTAATCCGAGATCAAAGCCTGATGTAAGCAGTGGCCATAATACTAGAGGGCTGGACACAGCTATCCTCGAATAGCAGTTCCCTCAGATAAGGCTGAAGATAGCCCAGACCACGGAAGTGGGCCTTCTACTTAAAACCCTGAAGGGGAGACAGCACAGTCCAGGCAAGGGGCTCATGGAGACCACTATTTAAAAACCCTAAAAAGGGGAGCAGCTATCCTCAAATAGCAGATTCATGGAGAAAGACTTCAGTGTTTACTCAAGAGAACTTGTGCCAAGGGGAACCCAACCTAGTTATAGAAGCCAGGCTAGAACATAGCTGCCCTCAGACCGCCATATTCCAGAGCAAAGTAAGCTTGAGCTGGAGCATAACCATCCACAGACAGCTACACTTTGAGCAGAGACTGTTCACTTAAGCCCTGAAGAGGGGGAGCCGTGTACTCAGCCCACTTAAAAATACCCAGAAGCCTGGGGAGGCAGCCCACTCCTAAACCCATCCAGCATAACACAGGAAGAGAAATTCAGCGAGGCTCTCCATACACAATAACATGCATATTAGAGATAATTAGACTCTAATTGGTGATGCGAATCTGTGTATGCCTCTGTAGGTAGTTTATTCTAACTCTTTGGGTGAAATTCCCATAGTGGCGTAGTCGGAGTGAGACTGATATCTTGTTCAATTCCCATTGTACTTAAAGCAAAAATCCCCTTTTTGCCCTCGTACCCCCGCCACACAAGTACTGTCAAAGGTTTTACCACAAACTCAACTGATATCGCTAGTGTGCTTTTCACCTCAAGGAGTATCATTGTGATGTTTACTATCGCGAGATCTCGTGCGCTCCCGGGCTCTGTATTTAAAACATAAATTTTGCGTGAAAAGTTTTTTTATTGAAAACAAAAATGAACACTAATTTCATACATACCGCCTTTTAAAGATTCAAGTACTTTTCAAAAATATGTCTGTTTTCAAGCGTTTTCCAGGACTTAAATTTCAAAAAGTCAAATTCAAGTGCTTCAAGCACTTTTAGGTGCCTTGTACGAACCCTGTATGAAACAACAACAAACAAAAAAACATACCATTCTGAAACGTCACGTAAGAGCCGTGCTTGCACAGGTTCTGCGCGATCCTCTTGACTAATATCCTCTGTGTCTCATTCGGGCTCAAACTGATAAGCAATATAGACGACGCCATTGTTTACAATACAACCGGAGCACATTCTGAGCTGAGGGGCGTGACGTTTCTGCACGCGCACTAGCGAATCACAACACACTGGGCCAGCTAACCAATCTGAGCCCATTGCGTATTTCTGAGGGAGGGGCTTCATAAAACCATGAAATCATCAGAGCGCTCATAAGAGAAGGGACAGAACGGTGTAGACTAAAGGTGAATTATGTGAAAATTTTTATTTATTTTTTTTAACTAAGCATAATGCATGTTAAACTGGATCCCATAAGCACAATCAAGCCTAGGAAAAAAAATAAAACAGTCAACCACCCCTTTAATTGCTGTAGAAATGTGGCACTTTTTCAGACTTTTCCGTAATACCACTAGCTGTCAGGAACAGGTCGAATTTTTGTACCCAAATCTTCCAGTTTCCGGCAAGATTTCCTTGTAAACACAGTGTGATGAGTGGGGTGGGGCTGAGAGCCGTGGGAACGGAGCGAGGCCGCTGGAGTAATTGATAATGAGTGACACCTGCACCACTCACCGGGCTCGAGTCCCACGGAGGAGCTACGACAGTGTTGGACGAGAGAGGACTAGACCTGGATTTTATTTTGAGTTTTGGTTCTGTTTGTGCGCGACAGTCATCCGCGAGGGGCTGTCGCGCTATTTTGTTTTAATTTTATTATTAAAGTTTTGTTTTTCGTGTTCGCCGGTTCCCGCCTCCTTCTTCCCGTGACTACGAACTGTGTTACACACAGGTTTAATGGTGGCTGTAGCTGTGCTATTCTTCATCAAGTTTGATGCACTTACAACTTCTGACACCATGTATTATAGTTTTTTAAACCAATAAATGAGACGACACACTGGTGGCTCAAGAACTGACATGCTTTACTGCCTTCTTGTCAACCAATCACGTGCACATTACGCACTTACATCATGACGTATCATACAGGTGCATCTCAATAAATTAGAATGTTGTGGAAAAGTTCATTTATTTCAGTGATTCAACTCAAATCATCACAATTAAAAGAACCAAAGACTACTTCAGTGCATTGAATTTATTTAATACACGAGTTTCACAATTTGAGTTGAATTACTGAAATAAATGAACTTTTCCACACGTTCTAATTTATTGAGATGCACCTGTACTTGAATATATTACGCCTGTAGCAACATTCCCTACTCTGCCTTCTCTTAAAAAATAACATTTTAAGGTAAAATCTACATATAGTTCCAAACAAAAGTAATGTTTAGTGTAAAACATGTTGAAGATTAGCAAACAGGTTGTTGATTCAAATATTCTATTATTAGTGTGTAATTTTCTAGGGATTCTAGAGAGCAGCGTGTCAACGGGACTTTTATTTTGGTTTTGTGGCGTGACGTCATAAGGCTGCGCTCCTGCATCCGTTGTGATTCGGATGAAGACAGGTTTGTGTTTTTAAGCATTTAAAAGGTTCAGTCTATCTTGTTGTTTTTACAATAACCGAAAAAAATGAATTAGTTGTTTTGCATCCATTGGATGGAATATATTAAATGTTATCTACAAATCAATACTAATTGTAAATAATAAATGCCTAAAAATGAAGGATCTCTTTTATTTGTAGCACTAGTTTGAGTGTTTTTAATTAACTCTCTCTCTGACTGACTCCCTTAACAGTGTGCTGACTACTGAACTAGGGAGCTGATTGAGACGCACTCGGATTTAGTTTAGATTTATTCTGTTAATTATTCTCATCTTAAACAGAACAAGTGTCCAAACTCACAGAAAAACAGTTGAATCATCTGAGATCAACGTGACACACTATTATAAAGATGGAGTTTATTAAAGAGGAGAGTGAAGACATGAGGATTGAAGAAGCATTCAGAGTCAAGCATGAAGATACTGAGGAAGGTTGGTTTTTATTCTCAAAGCTGAACTCATTCATCTGATCCTTATTAAAATGCTCAGCTCTATAGAACATACAAGTTGGATATTTGTTATTACGACATGACACATTAAATTAGGAAAAATAATACAGAAGTCTGAGCAAAATAATGAATTTGTGTAATATTCAAAAACATATATATTTTACACAACTCCTTGCTCAAGCTCTTGTTATATCCAGGCTGGACTATTGCAATGCTCTCTTGGCAGGTCTTCCAGCCACTTCTATCAAACCTCTACAATTAATCCAAAATGCCGCTGCAAGATATGTATGTATGTATATATATATATATATATATATATGTGTAGGTGTATGTATGTGTGTGTATATATGTGTGTATGTATGTATATATATATATGTATGTATATATATATATATATATGTGTATATATATGTATGTATGTGTGTGTGTGTAATATTGTTGCTCTTTTGTTAGTTTTGACTGCTTTTATTCTCCTAATTTGTAAGTCGCTTTGGATAAAAGCATCTGCTAAATTACTAAATAAATAAAATAAATAATATTAAAACCTACTATCTATTACTAAATTATATAAATCATGTCTAAGTTATACTCTGCAAGAGTGGGAAAATTCAGACCATGTGACTAACAAGATATCAGGCTTGTTCGAGATTAAATTGAAAATATGCATTTTTTTCAATATAAGCAATAGGTTATCCAGGGGCTGGATTCACGAAACATTCGTAAGAATACATTTCTTACTAACTGCCATTTTCTTCTTATTTAATAAAAAAAGTTATATTTATGTTTAATATTTTGTACTCCTAAAAATTTTTCTTAAGAATATTCGTATCTTTTTTTTCCTTAATGTTCTTCCGACGAAACTTAATTTAAATTCTTAAAGAATCTTAAAAATCATTGTAAATCACTTCTGAAAGTTAGGATAGCCCCAGAGTTGTCCTAAATCCCAAATAGTAAGAATTATTTCATAGTTAAAAGGGTTAATTTAAAATGAATTGTTATTTAAGCATTAAAACAACACTAGCCACATATAATACATAGGCTGATCATAACCGATCATTGTTTACATCTCATTAACATCCCTATTAATACTCCTATGTGTGGCACTACTTTTTGCTTACTTAAACTCAGTAACAGCTCTACAAAAACAAGTCAGATAGGGAGCTCGTTTTTAAATTTTAGCCTATAAATATGCCATAATCTTTGTCAGTAATCAGCGCATATGATGCGTTTGCTGTAGCAGTGCAGACACACAAACCGGAAGCGTTTATTCGGATGAGGGCGCAAAAACACAACACAAAAATGAAACCGATCGCTGTAGCTTGAGACAGGCTCTTTAAAAGTAACTGTTCAAAAACACAGCGCATTAAAAACGCAAAGTCGAGCGCCAGTCAAGCTAGTCGCGACAAAAAATAGTGTGCGCACTTATTATGATTATTAGGGTAATCTGAATAAAACACAGACCTACAACACATTCATTATACAGACAAATTAATATTAAAATATCTTTAAAACAGAAAGAATAAAGGCAGTCACGTGTTGTTTAAATATTGTTACGGTCGCGTTTACGGAGATAAACTGACAGCGCGTTAGCTCTTTCATGAGATTTGAATTATCCGCTGTAAGACGATCTCATGCATAATACAGCACAGTGATTGGATCATAAGGGTTTATTCTCATGAATAATACTGAAACTCTCCAGCCACGGCAGCCAATCACGCTCCAGATTAACGCATATACTTTGCTTTTTGAACTGGAAGAACGAAATTGCTTCAAAAAACGAAAAAATAACCACTTTTACCTTAATAATGGACATTATGAGTGCTAAAGTTGTTTTCACTGATGTGCAACCTGTAGGGTTTTATGACAGTTTAAGAAATGTTTTTTCTTTTTATATATATTTGAGAATCTACTTCAAGAATCTTGCCGTGTCAGTACTGTTACCGTTTTTAAAATGTAAATTTAAACAATTATTACATTTAATATAATCGATTCTTTCAAAGTGTACAACATGTGCTTTTGTGAACTTGACTATTAGCTAGAAATTAGCAAATTAGTTTGAAATTGTCAAACCTGTTACTGTCAGCCCTGTTACTTTTTAGGGTAACAGGTTTTGTCAATTGGGTAACAGGGATGAGATGGATTAGGTGTCACCCTGTTTTTAAAGAATGTCTATGTAAAATTCAAACATTTTAAAGGTCACCCTGGGTGTAATTTTGAGCTAATGCCTATATCATTCAGTGGCGTACGAGCATGACTTACACATTTTAGTTAATATTATTGGTATTGTTACTATTACTGTTGTTGTATACATTAGATATCTTAGAAATGTAATGTGCTAAATCAACAATGAACTGACTTAAACTGAAAAATTGACTGTTTACTATTGTCATACAACTATGCTAAGTAAGTGCAAAACAATATAATGCAATTTAATACTGTACAGTTTTACAATTTTATGTAAACAAATATGTGCAGTGTGCTGAAGAATGTGTGTTCTCTCATCCCTGTTACTCTGGTTAGTCCTGTGACGCCAATCCTGTTACTGTCATACATTTCATAAAAATTGTATTTGATACAGCCTTCCAGGTTTTTTTTTAACTATAACTATATACTATACTTATATGGTATACTATAACTACACTTTAACTATATTTTATTTTGGACAAAGCCCTTTTTTAAATATCTCTCTTGATTGACGTGGTCACCCTCCAAAATTAGGATGTTTTTGTTCAGCTGAATGACAAATATAAAAATATTAAAAAAATAAAAAATTTGAAACAATCCCAGTGAAAAGAGGGACTAAAATTCTACTCATAAATGTGAAAATTTTCACATAGTTCTAATTAAATTATAGTACCTAGTAACGCTTGTCGGTAACAGGGTTGACAAAAATACCAAAACATGAGGTAGAAAAATTGTATTTCTGGCACTTGATGACACGCACGATCTATCTGTCTTGTGTCTTGGTCAGGAGCTTGTGCGTTCAGTGCTCGAGGGCTCTGAACGCACTCATTGTGAGTGTTTTCCAATGAGAAGCTCCATTCGCGTTTGTCTCTCTTCTCGAGAGATGAGTGACAAGCGTTTGCGTCTCGCGGTTCGGGTCCCGCTGTTGCCGTGGCATGGCGAAGACTCGGATCGCGGGATTCTCGGGTTTAAGATGATCTTTTTGGGTTATCGGATCCCACGGGTAGCGCTCGAGTTGAGCAGCGCCTTAAAGGGGTCCTATTATGCTCTTTTACAAAGTCTTGATTTTGTTTTGGGGGTGTACTAGAACATGCTCTCATGCTTGGTGGTTCAAAAAACGCATTATTTTTCACATAATTTACATTATTAAAATACCTTTCTCCCCAGCCTGTAGATCTTTTTTATGCCCAAACATACACACTACACACTGATTAAAATTAAAAAAGTGAAAAAGCATAATAGGACCCCTTTAAGGATTGTGTGCCTCCTTGTTTGGATTCTAACCACTCAAGGGCATGTTCTGCTTTTGCGTTGTCTCGGCGAAGAGCGCGTGCGTTCAGAGTTACGCGCTCATTGTGATGAGACACGGTGTCTCACGGTTCTCTCCCAGGGTTTTCAGCACCTAGAGTGGTTATGGGGAGTGTCTCTTCCTGTGTTAAGCCGAGTGTAGCCGTCTGTGGGTGGTTATGCTCCAGCTCAAGCTTACTTTGCTCTGGAATATGGCGGTCTGAGGGCAGCTATGTTCTAGCCTGGCTTCTTAACTAGGTTGGGTTCCCCTTGGCACAATATCTCTCGATTAAGCACTGAAGTCTTTGTCTAGGAATCTGCTATTTGAGGATAGCTGTGTTCCAGCTCAGAGACTGCTCCCCTTTTTAGGGTTTTTAAATAGTGGTCTCTGTGAGTTTTAAATAGATGGCCCACTTCCATGGTTTGGGCTATCTTCAGCCTTATCTGAGTGAACTGCTATTCGAGGATAGCTGTGTCCAGCCCTCTAGTATTATGGCCACTGCTTACATCAGGCTTTGATCTTTGTACTAGTGATGTTTGTGTTCACTCTTAGCGAATCATTTACTGATGGCCTCCCTCTTGTGAGCTCCTGGTCAATAACACAGTGCTTCGCTAGCCCACTGTGCTCAGTGATTGCTCCCCTGCTTAAGGTTTTAAGTAGCAGTCTCTTGAGCCCTTACCTAGACAGTGCTGTCTCCCCTCTTTGGGTTGTAATTAGACAGCCCACTCTTTGTGATCTGGGTAGTTTCAGTCGGTCTCCCTTCTGGTGGCCCTTCCTAGGTACATAGCTATCTGAGGATATCTATGTGCTAACTCAGTAACTGCTCCCCTTAGCGGTCTCCTTGAGCCCTT